CCTCACTGTTTAGACCTCATTCCAGATGGTTTATGAATAGGATTGGCCCCAGTACGGACCCTTGAAGGACACCGCTAGTTACCTGTCTCCATTAATAAAAGTGACCGTTGATCTTGACTTTTGTCTCCTATCTTTTAACTGGTTATCAGTCCATCAGCGGATCCTTCCCTCTGATCCCACAACAACTTCCTTTGCTTAAGAGCCTTTGGGAGGGACCTCGTCGAAGGCTTTCTGGAAATCTAAGTACACTAGAGCCACTGGATCCCCATTGCCTCATGCTCGTTGATCCCCTCAAAGAACTCTAGTAGATTGGTGAGGCAGGATTTCCCTTTACAGAAACTGATGGCGTTCTCCAGGGTACAGTGCAGCACAGATGTAATCTGGTTACAGGAATTAGGGCCAGGATGCCTCAGGCCCCCTTGAGATGGGGGTGACTGGGCCCCTACAACTTCAGCTTCCTCCTCAGTCTCTCTGGGTACGTCTACACTAGCTCCCTGGATCGATCCAAGGAGGCTAATGAGGGCGACCAGAATTACAAATCAAGCCCGGGATTTAAATATCCTGTACTTGATTTGCATGTTCCTGGCTGTTGGCCATTTAACAAATTGACTAGCCCGAAGTAACTGCCCGCGTCTACATGTGGCAGTGAAACGGGATTCCGGAATAAAGCTCTAAATCGAATTAGGTGGTATTCCTCGTGGAATGAGGTTTACCACCTAATTCGATTTAGAGGCAGGGAAGAATTGTTTTGCGCAAAAAAGCCCTGATGGCTAAAATGGCGATCGGGGCTTTCTTGCACAACATTGCATCTAGACTGGCCACGGATGCTTTTGCGCAAAAGCACTTTTTGCGCAAAAGCAGCCTTGCCAATCTAGACGCGCTTTTGCGGAAATACTTTTAACGGAAAAACTTTTTCGTTAAAAGGCTTCAGACCAAAAAAACTCCCATTCCTCTCGCACACTCTTCCTTTGTTCACCCTCCTCTCTTAACTTGTAGAACTGGTTTTAGCCACTGCCCTGGGATGGGACAGACAGCAGCCAGTGGGGGTCCCCCACAGCCCAAGCACAGTAACCAACAAGGTACTAGCTGAAACAAAAGACAGGACTATGCAGCACTTTAAAGACTAACAAGATGGTTTATTAGGTGATGAGCTTTCGTGGGCCAGACCCACTTCCTCAGATCAAATTGTGGAAGAAAATTGGCACGACCATATATACCAAAGGGATACAATCAAAGAAAGTGAACACATATCAAAAGGACAAATCACATTTCAGAACAGAGGGGAGATAATGGGGGGGTGCGGTTAATGTCTGTGAGCTTCCCCAATTATCTCCTCTAATCTCATTAGCTATCTTTGTAATGGGTAAGATAATTACTGTCTTTGTTAAGGCCCAGACGTAAAGTGTCAAATTTAAGCATGAATGACAGTTCACAGGTTTCTCTTTGAAGTCTTGTGTTAAAATGTCTTTGAAGCAGGATGCAGGTAGTTAAGTCGTTGAGACAATGCCCTTTCCGGGTGAAATGGCAAGGAGCTGCACACCACAGAAGCCATGTTGACTCTTCCCCAACAAATTATAAACAACACGTGGTCCTGTGGCACTTTAGGGACTGACAAACTGTCTAGAATCACAAGCGTTTGTGGGTAAAACCCACTTCCTCAGCTGAGTTGGTGTGGCTGACAGTACTGAAGAGGAATGGTCCTTTGCTTTCTCGCCAGGGATCACGCACAGCATAGAAGCTTGTGGTCGAGTGATCACCCAGCTAGCCAGCAAGCACATGTATTCGTAAGGTGAAAGCATTATAGAATAAACACATATTACTAACAGTAAAAGCCCCTACACACATGCTAAATAGTTGACTGCAGGTCACCTCCTGCACCCTTCCCCGCAGCTGTGTTATCCATGTGGCCGAGTTCATAACCGGCTCAGCTTCCGAGCCACCGGGCATAGTCCCAGCCCTCTTTTAGGATGGCATGTGCCTTTGATCTTGGCCTCCTGTGAATAGCTAATCAGCTGACAGTGGCTTGCTCCTCAGGGTGTGCTACCAGAAAGCTGGGTTTTGCATAGCTGGGCATATGGAATTTGCATTTCCTGCCTCCGAGTTTTTCCCCAGGAAAACCACTTCACGCTTTTTGTTCCAAGAGGCTGGGCTTGTCTGACCCATTGTTCACTTTCATGCTCTGAACCCCCCACCCCCCCCCGGAGGAGTTGTGTACAATTCAGGCCTTCATGTGAATGGTTAGTGTAGTAATACAATGGGCCCCGAATATACTCCCATTTAGTCCGGGGAGCCCTCCCGCATCGGGTACAGCACAAAATTGCCACATCTGGAACACCCCTTTTCGCACGCCTTAAAACTTCCTGAATCGGCAACCAGCCACCAAAGCAACCTGTGTGTCGTCGTCCCCCTGAGGGGGCGCTCGTCCAGCCCGCCAATGGGCTGTCTCTTTCAGGGCTTGTGCTGTAGGACATGCTTGCGGCAGGGGGCCCTCACCCACCGTGCTTTGCGTTGCTGCGTAATCCCATCGTGCGGCGTTTTGCCACATCGCTGCGTGCCGAGTGAAGCCGGGCGGTGTAACCCAGGGGGTTGGGGATGAAATCCCCTTTGATGTCTGCTGGGTGGGTTTGACCAGTGCACCCAAGCGCACACCCCAGCTGGTTACCGGGCTGGGGGGAACCTGGCCTCCATGCGTCACTACTGGGAGTGCCAAATTCAGGACAAGTGGCACCAAATGGGGCAGGCTATTCCCAAGGCTGGTGGACGGTCCAAGACTTAGATTTTCCAAGCCATCCCACCCTCAGACCTCCACCAGACACCCAAGTCAAATACACCGAGGGTCACTGAAAAGACTCAGCTGGTTACCGGGCTGGGGGGAACCTGGCCTCCATGCGTCACTACTGGGAGTGCCAAATTCAGGACAAGTGGCACCAAATGGGGCAGGCTATTCCCAAGGCTGGTGGACGGTCCAAGACTTAGATTTTCCAAGCCATCCCACCCTCAGACCTCCACCAGACACCCAAGTCAAATACACCGAGGGTCACTGAAAAGACTGCTCCTAGTATACAATAGTTCTCCCAGGATCGGACACGTTACCCCCGGGCTGAGGGCCGAATGTTTCAGCTCACAGCCAAGCACATGCGTACAGCCGATCCTTATGAACTACAACGTGCTTTGGCTTCAAGAGCAGTATATGGGCAATCAAAGGCAACGTCCCTTTCACCACCGTTTAACAAGCAGCCGGAAAGGCCAGGTCCTTGAGCATTCCAGTCCTTGTACCACCCCCCGTGTGCCAGACTTGCTGGTGAATGGTTCCTTAACACCAGTGGCATCGGGTTTCTGATCCTAGAGGACCAGCCACGCACCCCCGGGTCGATATATCCCTCTCGGAGCTTACCCTGTGCGCCGGTCCTTCTTGATTACACTAGGATGTGTTGAAAAAGCAAGGCGGGAGTATTGGTTCAAAGATCAGAATGCATGCAGGTCTGAGACCAGATTCATAGTAGCAGGGGAGCTGGCAGACTCCCGTGCCCCTGGCAAAGTACAGGGGATGGGGCCCAGGCAGGCAGCCTCAGCGACACCCGGACAGTGGTGCATCCCCCTGCCTTTAGCACTGCCCAGAGCCCGCTGCATAATACAGGTCGAACCTCTCTAGTCCAGCAACATCCAGCTGTTAGTGAGCCGGATGGTCGTTTATCACGAATGGGGCCAAGTTTCCCTCGGTCCCATAAAGTTTGTTTATCGTCCTGGCTCTCTGTTTGGTGCTGCTGTTTAGCCCAGTTTACCCCGAAACGTCTTCTCAGAGCCCAGCCAGCAGTGGAAGTGTTGGTGATGCTGCTAGACAATATCGACCGCCCCTGGTTTGGCAAATTCTCCGATTTGGTGCTGCTCAGGTCCCCAGGGGTCCGGACGAGAGAGGCTCAACCGGTCGAGTTTTCTAGCGGCAGAATTCTTTCAGAATTGGTTTGAGATCCAGCATGACCAGTCCCGCCGAGGCTGTGCGGAGGCTTGGTGGAGCCGTGCGGGAAAGACGTGCAGGACACCGGAGCGTTGGCCCACGAGAGCAGCAGGCTCCCGACACGTGGGCTCAGGCTCCGGCGCCGCCGGTGGGCATCTTGCCAGCTCTTCTTCCGCCTGTG